GAGAATTATACTCACAGAAGAAGAAAATAGACTTAAATAGAGGACGTCTTTTTTATCTTTAGGAAAAACTTTCGGCCAACACTTTATCAAGAAGAGAACTCTGCTGCGTGGAACAAAACAATCAATTTTGGCACCTTTTATTTTCTTTTTAGTCATCAATTTTCAATTAAAATCTATTTTGTGTTTCAATTTTATCTCCCCATTCGCTACTTATAAGTGTTTCCCTGAGTATTTTGTTCTATGCGCCAAATTTTTCCTTTTGATAAAGTGTTGGCCGACGAAAGGGTACCTAACGGTAAAAATGATGTCTCTCTCTCTCTCTCTCTCTATATATATATATATATATATATATATATATATATATATATATATATATATATAATGAAGATGTAATCACCCAAAGAATTCATTCGTAAAGTTAATGTAATTAATGGCGAAATCACTTCGCTTATAGATCAATAAACTATTAACATACTGACAAGTTTCTGAATGACGCGATCATTATGTTTTAAAATTATGAGGTCGATTAGATGTTGTGTTACAAGTACTTTCGTAGAAATTCGCTCCTTCATCGTCTGGTATTAATATAGTTTTAATTTCAGGTAAATTTCCAAGACGAATATAAATGTATTTCAAGCCGAATCATTGTTTTTTTTACCTTTTTAAAATATGACCTATTTATTAACAATGCAATTTCGGAACGTGCGTTGTCACAACGCTAGTATTGTATTTTGAATATTGCAAGGGAGAATTTTTTTTTTAAATAGTAATGTGTCAAATCCACGAATTTTTTTTTTTTTTTTTTTGTTATAAGTTTTTTTTTAATTTAGTCATCAACGCTATCATCATAAAGGTAGCGATCAGTAAAAAAAGAAATTAAATTCTTGGATTCGAGATAATGCTGACGTCGATGGAAAAAAAAATTATCTTTAGAATAACTCGCCAGTGTAACCGTACTTTCAAATGACTCTACTGTAAATTGAAAGTTGTACGCAGGCGAAAACTCCCCATCCACCCTATCGCCTGGGATAGGGTTAATTAAGTTTAATCAAAGACTACATGAATAAATTATAGCAATGATTTTCTTCACGCTTCAATTGAAAAAATCAATTTGATTGTAATGTGACAATGAACTTAGCTTGTCGATAAATAGAGCGACAACGTTATGTGTTCTGTTCTCGTCTGTCTAAACTGACAAACACCACCGGACGGCCTTTCATGATCTAATGTGTGTAGAACGCTATAAACGCTTACAACTGTATCTCCGTCCGGCTTTCTATTACAGGAATTTTGAATCTTCATCTTTGACTTGCAATTAGTTTTATTTCGAGAGCACGACCTTCCTGCCAAACTAGCATCTTCATACTTACACAGCCAGTTCGACTCTACGGTTTTTACGTTTATGCTTAAATCGATAACAGACTCGGATTATACAGAGGTGAAAAATGAACCCGGGACTGGGCAACTTTTAGCGATTTCCACTTCAACCGACACGAGTGGGATATAATTAGACTATTTTTTTTCATTTAATTTTATCTGAAGACAAAAATAACATTAGAAAAGAAACAAAAAAAAAAATCATAGGAATAGTTCTCTCCCCTTTTCCTTCTTTCTCATTACATCGATACCCTAGAACATCGTTAGCTTTTTTTCTGTTGTTCTTAAAGACTTTCAATAATATGCTATATCTCACAAGCGTCTATCATAACTGTCTTTAGAGACGCAACATTATAATCTCGACTGACCATAAAAGACGCGTCTTATCAAATTCGTTCGTTTTGCCATTTAACTTTATTTTTCTCTTTTGCCAGCACTTTTCCATTTTAAACCGAAATATTGATGTTCTTTTCTTTTTATTTTGGTTCTTTCCTTTTGAAATCAGTGCCATTTTATTTTATATATGATTTTTTTTTTTTTTTTTTTATAAATCAACGTCTACACTTTTCCACTTGGAGATTTGTTGCTACAAGGATGGCGGACAATTTGCCGCTTACAGAATGATTGTGTATTTGTGGGCAATAATTTAATTGAGGATTTTTAGGGTTGTAGAAATGGAATAAAAGGCGGGAAAAACTAGCGGGATGACCGACAGAGAGTGGTTAAAAAAATGAAAAAGAAAAAAAGATACGGAACATATTTGTTTTTTTTAATTTCTTTCTTAATCGCTTCATATCTATCTATGCCAATCTCTTAACATATGTCTATGTTCATATATATCTATCTATCAATTTATCTCAGTTTATTCATATCTATCTATATTGTTCTGTTGTTCTATCTTCTTTCTCTCTCTCTCTCTCTCTATATATATATATATATATATATATATATATATATATATATATATATATATATATATATATCACTCTGTTCATATCTATCTATCTATCTCAATTTATTCATATCATTCTATATTATTCTGTTTATATCTATGTCTTTCTCTCTCTCTCTCTCTCTCTCTGTATATATATATATATATAAATATATATAAATATATCAGTCT